AATCTTATTTTATTTTATTTGGTTCAACAACAAAATCAAATACACATTAATTAACGTTGTCACATTATTCTTGTCAAATTTTATGCATATCTAGAATTTTTTGAATTTATTTAGAAAAATTCTATTCCTACAAAAAAATTTCATCTTCTTTTTTAATTTTTTTTAAAATTTTATGTATCTCTTTCTCCTCTCTATTAATTGATCTTCAATAATCTGAAGGTGAGTTATTTCTCTCGTTTCCATCTTCTTCTTCTTCTTATTTTTTTTTAAAAAAAAATTCTTTGCATTTATAGAATGAATTTTCTTATTTCAATATCTCCTGCAATTGTTTTATTGGATTTCTCTCTGATTTGATGGTAACCTTTTATTGAATTTCCCAATTTTCATCTTAACTAGTGATCACCTTAATTAAAATTTTGTACATTTTTGTCTTCAATTTCCATGTTTTGGTTATGATTAATTGCACGTTTTTTATCGATAGTCACAATCTTGTCACCGCTAGATTGTCGCCATCGCAAATTGTCGTTGCTATAGTAAGAGGATGAGAGAGAGTGAGAATTTGAAATCTAATTGTCAACAGAATAGAGATGTCAATGGATAACCTACCATGTAGATATCCATGGAGACCCAACCCAAATACTTGGGTTTTTCTTTTTTTCTTGTCCATCGGGTAGGGTAAATGATATTCTTTAAATCTCAACTGATGATGGGTCGGGGATGGGTACCCACTAGTTTTCCCATAATTTTTTTTAGGTACATCAGAAAATAATTTCTCCATATGTTTTCACTACTCTGTTGACAATTAGAGTTCTAATTCTCACTCTCTCTCATCCTCTCACTACAGCAATGGCGATTTGTGATGACGACAATCTAGTGGTGACAAGATTGTGACTATCGATAAAAAACGCACAATTAATCATAACCAAAACATAAAAATTGAATTAAAGACATCACTTACCCTACTCGACGGACAAGAAAAAAGGGAAAACTCAAATATTTGGGTTGGGTCTCCATGGATACCTACATGGTAGGTTATCCATTGTCATCCCAACTCTGTTGACAATTAGAGTTCTAATTCTCACTCTCTCTCATCATCTCACTACAACAACGACAATTTGTGATGACGACAATCTAGCGGTGACAAGATTGTGACTATCGATCAAAAACGCGCAATTAATCATGACCAAAACATGGAAATTGAAGATAAAAATGTACAAAATTTCAATTAAGGTGATCACTAGTTAAGATGAAAATTGAAAAATTCAATCTAAGGTTACCATCAAATCAGAGAGAAATCCAATAAAACAATTGCAGGAGATATTGAAACAAGAAAATTCATTCTATAAATCCAAATAATTTTTTTTTTTTTTAAAAGAAGAAGAAGATGGAAACAAAATAATAACTCACCTTCAGATTATCTAAAATCAATTAATAAAGAGGAGAAGAAGATACATAAAATTAAAAAAATCAAAAAAAAAATTAAAAAAGAAGATGGAATTTTTTTGTTGAAATAGAATTTTTCTAAATAAATTTAAAAAATTCTAGATATACATAAAATTCGATAAGAATAATGTGACAATGTTAATTAATGTGTATTTGATTTTGTTGTTGAGCCAAATAAAATAAAATAAGATTGAAGGTATATTTAGCTTTGGTTGTTAATCTTTAAAAAAATAATAATAAAAAAAATAAAAAAAAAATTGAATATATATTTAGCTTTGGTTAAGATTAATTTTTTTGAAATAAATTTTAAAAATTCTAGATATACATAAAATTTGACAAGAATAATGTGATAATGTTAATTAATGTGTATTTGATTTTGTTGTTGAGTCAAATAAAATAAAATAAGATTGAAGGTATATTTAGCTTTGGTTGTTAATCTTTAAAAAAATAATAATAAAAAAAATAAAAAAAAAATTGAATATATATTTAGCTTTGGTTAAGATTAATTTTTTTGAAATAAATTTTAAAAATTCTAGATATACATAAAATTTGACAAGAATAATGTGATAATGTTAATTAATGTGTAAAAAAAAAAAGGACAAGTTGGGTTGGAGAATATCCAAACGCATTAGGAGATGGGGAAGGTAGAACCCATGGGGAATGGAGAAAAATAATTATAGGGGAATGGGGATGGAGAATTAATATCCACCCCCATTAACCCCCATTGCAATCCCTACTTGTGACCATCTTTTGATTAATCACAAATTATTATATTTTTTATATTTTATAATTATTTAATATAAAATTAAAAAGGATAAATTATATTGATACCCCCTGAGATTTATGTTTATTACAGTTTCTCCCTCACCTTTTGAAAATTACATATCCCCCTTGAGGTTTAAAGTTTCATTACAAATTCTCCCCTTCAGCAATTTAATTTTTTTAATTACCAATTTTGCCCTCACTAGGTAAATTACATTGACACCCCTTACATTTTAAAAATTACAATCCCCTCCTTAAGGTTTAAAATAGCATTACCAATTGTTTCCTCGGTTAGTATTAGTTAGAAAAAAAATTAATTGAAAAAAAAATTAATTGAAAAAAAAATTGTTAGTAAAATTTTTAAATTTCTGTTTAAAAACCAACGTAAGCTCATTTTTTGAATTTACTTTTTTTTCTCAAATTTACAAATTGAGACAACCATTTATAAACCAAAAAAATTATCAAACAAGTTTTTATGATAGTTTTTTAAATTTTTGTAAATATAAATTGAAAACTGAAAACGAAATGGTTACCAAACAGGTTTCAGATGGTAAAAGTGTCGTAAAATTAACAAATAATTAAATAAGTTACCAACGTAAAAAATGACTTATCAAAAGATTTTTAGGCTATGTATGGTTTGATTTTTAGAAATTTTTTTTAAAAATTAAAAATTAATTTGGTTAAGAAATAAAAAATAAAAAATAATTATAATTTTTATCTTTCCAGTGGTTAGAAATAATTTTTTACAAATTAAATTGAAACAGTCATACGTATATATATGATCTGCCCAAAAATTAAAATGATAATTATTTTTTACCCTTAAATGATAATTATTTTTTATTTTTTATTTCTTAACCAAATTAATTTTTAATTTTTAAAAAAAAAATTCTAAAAATCAAACCTTACATAGCCTAAGAGTCTTTTGATAAGTCATTTATTGCATTGGTAACTTATTTAACTATTTGTTAATTTTATGACATTTTTACCATCTGAGGCATGTTTGGTAACTATTTCGTTTTCAGTTTTCAATTTATATTTACAAAAATTTTAAAAACGGTCATAAAAACTTGTTTGATAATTTTTTTGGTTTATAAATGATTGTCTCAGTTTGTAAATTTGAGGAAAAAATGTAAATTTTACGTTGATTTTGAACAAAAATTTAAAAATTTTACTAACAAAAGTTTTTTTCAATTAATTTTTTTTTCCAAGTAATTTTTTTTTTCAACTACTAACTGAGAGGGAAATAAGTAATGCTACTTTAAACCTTAGGGAGGAGATTGTAATTTCTAAAATGTGAGGGGTGTCAATGTACTTTACCCAATAAGGGCAAAATTGGTATTAAAAAAAATTAAATTGCTGAGAGAGGAAATCTGTAATGAAACTTTAAACCTCATGGGGGAGATGTAATTTTCAAAAGATGAGGGGAGAATTGTAATAAATATAAACCTCAGGGAGTGTCAGTGTAATTTACCCAATTAAAAATTTCACTCTTTATCAATTGCAATATATTTAGACACGAGTATCACTTATATAGCGTAAGGATCCTCTAGAGTATTGCCCTTACAGTGATCTCTTAGGCCCCGTTTATTTTCAGAGTGAAGGTGATTCATAGTGAGGGGATTGTTAGTGAGGGGATTAAGTAAAATTGTGTTTGTTTTGACGATAGTTGTTAGTGTAGGAATTGTTAAATTATTTTTATATAAAATAATAAAACAAATAAAAAAATATAAAAAAATTAAACATTAATATTTATAAAAAAAAATTCCCAATATATAGCAAATAAAAAAAATTCTAATTCCCTCACTATTTTTCTAATACCATCTCCCCAACCTCCATCTATATCACCTCCACCATCCTAATCCCCTCCCCAACTCTACAAACAAACACAACATTAAATAACACATCCATCATCCTAATCCCCTCTCATCTACTTAACCCAAAACAAACGGGCCCTTAGAGCATCTCCAACTCAATCCTCTCACTAAGAAGATGAAATTAAATTTTTTTATTCAAAAAGTAAATATAGAATATGTTACTATTCATTCAAACTCCAATCACAAATCTTCATTTTCTTCTCTAAATATTTTCCTTCAAAATTCATTAATTTTCCTTCCATCTATTTTTCTTACCAGCTAATAAATTTTGCAACATTAATAATTTTTAATTTTTAATTTTTTGTTAAATATATTTAATATTAGACTCATTTTAAAGATATAATTTTAATATTTTTAATGACACCAAATTTATAAAATTTAGATGTACATATTAAAAGTTATTTGTATTTAATAACATATAACAAAAATTACAAAAATGATATAATTTTGAAATTTTTGTAAAATATATTTAATATTATACTCATTTTAAATGTATAAATTCACCATTTTTAATTATACCAATTTTATAAAAATTAAATTTATGAAGGAATAATATTTTAGAGGAATTCTCTATTTTTCATCATCCCTTCAAATATGAAGGATCAACTCATCCTCCTTTTAAATAGAGATGGATTTAGAAGATGAATTAGAGGAGCAAATCCTTCAAATATGAAGTTATTAAGGGTGGCTTAGAGATGCTCTTATAGTGCAAGACAAGCAGTGACACGTCATTAAACCAAAGGTTGAGATTTAAACTCACCAAAACGATATCGTTTTAGTTAGTAGATTGAAGGGAAAAAAAAATACAAAAACAGAGTGAGAAATGATATATATATATATATATATAAATCCAAACAAACAAATATACAAACTTGCTAAAAAAAAAAAAAAAATTAAATCACAGAAGTGGGTTTAAATCAGATGACGGTGGAGGACGGAGACCGGTGCTCGCCGGTGAAGAACGTAAGTGACGATGGTTGTGTTTGGAACTCTCGTTCTCTCTCTCTCTCTCTCTCTTCGTTTCTCCTCTTCCTTTTTCTCTCTTCCCTTTCACGTTTCTATGCCTTTTTTTATTAAAGCAAATATTCACAACCCCAAAATCAGCTCCTAAATAGGATATGTATATATATATATTCACGCATGTATATATATCATAGGAGCTCTTGAATGAAAGGATTGATCATTAACAGATGTATCCCGAGAGAACAAACTTTCGTAACAGCAAGAAAGAATAACACCATCACATACAAGTTCAACAGAATCTATATCAAAATTTTCTGCTTTTTTAGGGCAAAAATCAAAACACACATTTACACAATCATTTATTTATGGATTTATCCAATATAATTTAGTAAATATTTTTATTAATCTCTTCTAGAGTAGAGAAAGAGAGGGAGAGAGAGAAAGAGATAAAAAGATACCTTTTTCCCTCCATTATTGAAAATTAGAATCAGATTGTTTGTTGTGTTTCCATATGAAAAAATAAATATGGAGAGAATAATTGACAGAGCAAACAGGCTCTTTGTTTTCAATTGTATTAATCCTTACGGGGAGACTCCATTTTATAGGAGTGATTATACAACATTTGCAAGACAATATAATAAAAAGCTACTAGACAACATAATGAAAGGCAACAATCATAATTAAAGGCACAACATATAAAACTAAAAGTAGCCGAAAGGAAATGGCACTAACTAAAGCAAATTGCACTATCTAAGGCATCTGATGACTACTAATGACACACAAATATAATATATACATTATATATATTATATATTATTAATAATGAAAAAGAAGCTTGATTTCAAACACTCCCCCTCAAGCGACGTTGTAGATGTTAATCATTCCCAATTTGTCCGTCAGATCTTCAAAGCTAACTCGAGCAAGAGCTTTTGTGAGAATGTCAGCCTTTTGGCTCTTTGTTGGAGTGTAGCTGACTTGAAAAACTCCTTCTTCAATCTTTTCCTTGATAAAGTGTCGATCTATCTCCACGTGTTTAGTTCGAGCTGTTATCACTCGTTCACAGTATATTAAGGTACCTTTTGCATTGTACTTTATGTATCCATATGAAATTACCTACTTCTGCCTTCTGTATCAACGTAATGGTTATTTGCATGTTCAAGTTGATTATAGGCAATTGACTCGATAATTTGTAGGAAGCAACTGAACTAGGTAAGAAGGCAAGAGAATTGAAGAAAACAGCTGATGCGCTTCGTCAGGAGGAAAAGAGTGGCTCAAAGGGAAGGAAGTGGCGTAAAAATGTAACGGCAGTAGAAAAGGTATTAACCTTTATCAATATTGTTAGCTGAAGGGTGCCTTGCCATGGCTAAAAGGGAAGGTGCATGGTTTAAGTCCACCCTAAGACATAGCAAGAAAATTGGTACATCTTATAATTTGGTGTACTTCAGCCTAAAGTTGGTTTTACAGATGGTGTATGGTCTAAGATACAATATGTTGAATTTGAATATCGGGTACTGACTTATTCTTAACCTTGTAGGAGCTGCTTCTTCTGGAAGAAGATGTAAAGGCTTTAGAAGAGATGTATCCTCAAGGTGAAAAGGTGATGGTTTGAAATTTTTTTCATGTGTTGACCTGCACATTTTTTCAAAAGCAGTTTTTTAGAATATGTTTTCTGAAAAAATTTCAATAAAACTAAAAACTAATTTGATGAAAGAAATGAAAAAATAAAAAAGGCACTCATCATTTTTATATGGTTTTATCTTTTTTTGGGTGTAGAAGTAATTGTTAAAAATCTGAAAATATTATTTTTGATGTTTCTTTTTGTCAAACTAATTTCTATTTGAAAAAAGAAAAAAGAAAAAGAAGAGAGATCTGATTTTGTCTCCTGACTTTGCTGCTTGATTCATTCAAGCAGAGACTGCATGGGCCATGACTATTCTTGGATACTTGGCCAAACTAGTGTTGGGGGTTTTAGGGTAAGTGCGAATTTTATGCATATCATTAATTGTGACTTTGACAAACAAAATGTTATTTTGATTTCCTTGAAACTGTCATTTTTTGGGGTCTCTGCAGAAAATTTTAGATGAAAATTGTGTTATCACACCAAAAACAAAAACAAAAAAAACAAAAGGAATTTAAAAACATTTCTTATGGATAACATACGGATGATGTTTAGTTTCTAGTTATTTGTTCTGGCCTTTAATTTTAAACGCAATGTATTTGGGGATAGGGAGCTTGCTTTGATGCGTATGAAGTATTATATTTCTTATGGGGATATTATTGTTGGGTAAATATAAGATAATCTACATCTCTTTCGTATTGATTGTATTTGCTTTCTCTTTTTATTATCATATGCGTTTCTCCTATACCTTACTTCACACTCCACTATTCATTTGTTCTTGGCATTTAGTTTAGGTGTGAAAAGAGTCCAAATTGTCTCTTTGGAGCATGAACAATCAAGAAACGTTCTATGTTCTAACTGTATGGAAATTCCTTGAAAGCTAAAGGACCTTGAAGGCTGAAAGACCTTAAAGAAAAACATTGAAATGCAATTTTGATGGCACCGTTAATACACATTAATAACATTGGCAAATCACCTAATTAGTTTATGGTTCTCTTTTAGATGATTTTGTTTGAACACTGTAGTTATTGAATTCTATAATGTATGCTAGTTTAATTCTAGTTATGACATGGAGATTTTGACACGGGTCTCTAATTTAAATTACAAAGTAACATTTTGTGCATACTGTTATAGGGGGATTGTGCATGATAACTATGTTATTTGCTGTGCTTCTAGCTAATATTAGCATCAGAACTTCATGAATATCAGAAAGCTACGTGGCTGTGTTGGCTACATTTAGTCAGGGATTTGAAAACTCGATTGTAGTGTTGTTCTTATCACAAGTGTGCCAAGGCAGTCGAGTGGCTGCGCTATTGCTCAGGACTTCAACCCATGCAGTTGTCATTTTCTTTTCTTCTTCCCTACTTCCACAACCTGACTCTGTCAAGCCATATAGTAATTAGTTGAGTTGAGAGCTCCAGAGATGGTGAAATATACAGGGAAGAGTCAATGTCTGAAACATTTCCAAGAGGAAATATTAGTTTGTCTTTTCCCTGGTGAGATTTTTCAAAAAGAATATTTGGAAAATTGGGGAAAAGTTAAGTTCATCTCTTTTCTTTTTCTTAACTCAATTGTGACATTGACGTAGCCGTAGGTGTAACAATTTAATGGCAACTGTTCAGCTATTTTTCAGAGTTCAAGAATGAGAGTGTGAACCCTGCTCTATTTCTATTAATTAAACAATTCATGAATTTGCAGAAATGTTAACTGACAATTGTGAACCCTGCTCTATTTCTAATGGTGCCAGTCAGCAAACCCCCATGCATCATTCTCCTTTATGGATGGTGTTTTGCTGTTTGATTATGCTGGCTCTGATATGAGAAAATATGCAAGTTTTGCTTGTTTAGTTGAAAATTCACAATGAAATAGATGAGTAAAACTCACAAGTGTCTTCAAGCAGTTCCAGTCATCTACAAGAGGTTGTCCTGCAGGTCTAACAGTTTCATATAATAAATATCTATAAACTTGTATACTTGTGTGCATCTCCCACATGTGGTGCCCTGCATTTTTCTAAAATTGATGTGTTGGTGTGTTTGTATCATGTCACATGTCCATATTCGTGTATGTGCTTCTTATATATAATTCTTCCTTGCCAAGACCCTTTTAAGATTTATATGCATGACATGTGACTATAGTTGCTCATCATGTTTCGGGTTAGTTTTAGTTAGTGCCAAGCCCAAAACCAAAATGGCCAAATTTAGTTCTTAAAAAATGAAATCATGTTCAAATTGATTATGATATGATCATATGAACAAAACTGAAATCACGTTCAAAATGAAGTTGAGATCAGGTTGGTTGGGGTTGGTTCTCTTAATTGAGAAGGATTTTGTAGAAACTGCAGTTGTGTCTCTCAATACTATCATCCAAAATTAATTATAGATATAGAGAATCCTTCATCCTCATTAGCTAAAGTGAGCAGAATTTGTAATTGTTTCTCATGATTTACATAGCTGCTTTGATTTTTTGCCCAAATATTCACACCGAAACCATCCAAAATGAGCAACAAAAACCAAACCCTTCAAATAAATAAATAAATTTGAAATAGATCATATTATATTATCAAAGAACAAGGAGAAAAACTAGGATAACTAGGAAACTAAATAAATTAGTAAATAAAAAAAAAAGAAAGAAGAGAACGAAAGGGGAGAGGGAGTTGAAGAGGATAGAAATAAGAAAAAAGAAGACGCTAAATAAATTAAAATGAAAACTCCTTGTTTGGTTGTTGGAATTGGCCATGTGAAAAATAAGACGCCAAATACTATGTAATGGAAATTACTTACACGAAGAACTTATGAGTTCAAATGTGGAAAACTTTATATACATAAAACTAGGTTAGTATTTTCTTATTGATTTTATGTTTAAGTTACAAGGTTAGAATCTAGGGGCACTAATGCTGAAGCATGAAAGAAGCCACAAAGGTTTGGTCTGTATTGTATCTAGTCCACCTTTCCTAGCTTCTGTAATTAACAGGGCAAACATGAATATCCTCATAAATCAGCCTTCAAGTTATTATTAGTTACACATGAGATATACCATTTATTTGGTACATATGAGTAGTGGAATTATATTTGGTAATCTTCTGAACTATGTGAAATGATACTCATGGTTCCTCTGCTTGAATTAGGTTAGGGCTGCTTGCAAGTCCTTGCCCTTGACATTGTACCTTTACTTTTGTTAAGTTTTGACCCTGAACTATTTAAGTAGCTATTAAACTTCTTTGATTGTTCTATTCTTACTGTTATACAGGAGAAGGAACAGTCTGCTCTTCGTGCACAGAGCAGCTCTGTTAGAAGCAGCAAAAGCCAAGCTAAGATTACTGAAGAAAGCGTGCCGAAGACTGTGAAGTTCCAACCCTTCATCCAAGAAGAAGCCTTAGTTAGTACACACAATGTATGTATAATTGTTTTGCACTATCCTTGAGTATTTAATTTCTTCACGTTTCGTGTTAATATTATCTATGTTAATTCCCCTCAGGATGTTTTCCCAAGTACAGCAGAGCAATTCTTTGACCTATTGTTGAATGATGACTCAAATTTTATAAATGAGTATCGTTCAGTCCGAAAGGACACTAACCTTACAGTAAGTACCAAGATTTTATGTTGATAATGTTTATTTGTCTTCTGAAATTTTATGTTTTCGATTGGTTAAATAGTTTTCGCATGATGATCAATTTGAGAAGTTTTCAATCTTCAGCTTGGGTAATGATTCTTCGTTAAATTTAGGTAGATGTCGGCATCAACGGGCAGTGATGATTCTTCTTTTTTATGTTGTAATACTTAAAAACTTCCATTAGATAACACTTGTATTCATGTTGAATTGCAGGAAACTGGGGAGATGATTGCAAATGTTCTTGGGTAGAAGTTTTTAGGCAGACAATTGCTGGTAACATTCTTGTGGGCAGCTATTGTGCCTTCTCCAATAAAGGTGGCCTGGTAAGAAATTTTATCCTGCATCTGTGGCAGTCTTATCAAACATCAGGTACCAAAATTTTATCTTCTTTTGTTATCCCCTTTCTAATGGAAATTGTGTTGGAGCAGGTCCATCCTTATACATCCATTGAAGACTTGGATGAACTTTCAACCCTCCTTCAGGTCCCTTTGGTGGCAGGGACTGTGAACCGTGGTAGTGAAGTGATAGCCGCTGGCTTGACAGTTAACGACTGGACAGTGTTCTGTGGATCAAACACTACAGCAACAGAATTGTCAGTCATTGAGAGTGTCTTCAAGTTGCGAGATGGTGATGTGGGAATTTCAGGAGATGGCTACAGGTGGCGCAAGTATGGACAAAAAATGGTAAAGGGAAATCCTCATCCCAGGTGTGTGCCTATCTTTCAGTTTAACCTTTTCTCTAAATCCTTCATTTCCATTTACTCTGTAACATTTTGTGTATTCATCATGTCATAAATTAGTGTAGTTTTGATATGTGAACAGGGTCAAGCTTCAGAATGGGCGCTGTTGAGACGTCATTCATCTGAAGAATTGTTTGGGGTTCAGATATGTGGGGCATATCCTGACACAGTTGCCTGGATAGTTGAACTTATAGATCAAGAATGTACAGTGGACTTCATCGATATCAATATGGGGTGCCCAATTGATATTGTTGTTAACAAAGGTGCTGGATCAGCTCTTCCTACAAAACCAACGCGTATGAAAAGCATTCTACAAGCAGCTTTTGGTACAATTGATAGACCTATTACTGTCAAGGTACTGAGTAACATTTCATATAATTTTAACTTCTGTTTAATGCCTAATAAAATGGTAAACTTTTTAAAAAGAAAAGTCTCAAGTGAAGATCCATCAGTTTATGTTGTTTTCAGATGATATAGTTTTATTGTTTTAGTTAATGGGACTATAAGAGTGAACTTTAAGCTAGAAATTGTGGAGAGAGAATTTAGAATCTAAATGTTCTAGGTTACGTAAGGCTTCAGACAAAATATGTAGTGTAATTTTAGCAAAAGTAGAAATAGAAATGGAAATAGAGTAAAACTTGTTGGCTCCTAGATACATAAGAATGACCATTCCAATATTTGGATTCATTATGCATAAAGAAAGAGAGGTTGAGAAGGATGTAGCCCATAGAACTAGAGCAAGATGGATGAAACTTCATTTGTTCTTTTCCTGATTGTGATTGAGCTTGTCTGAGACTGATATGCATTATGTTGTTTGTTGTTACTCTAGGTACGAACAGGTTATCTGGAGGGAAAAAACCGCATTGATTTGTTAATTGAAGATATTGGAAAATGGGGAGCCAATGTGGTAACGATACATGGGCGATCACGTCAGCAACACTATAGCAAGCTTGCTGATTAGGAATACATTACCAGTGTGCAAGAAAGGCTCCCGATGCTTTGCAAGTCCTGGGGAATGGTGATGTCTTTACATATTTAGACTGGAACAGGCACAAGTCTGATTGCCCTGACCTTTCTACATGCATGATTGCTCGTGGAGCATTAATTAAGGTTCGCATTTGGATCTTTGGCTTGCTTTGATTTGTTTTATTATGCTGCAATTTATATCCACATAATATGTTTGTGTATTTTTAAACACTACCGTTTGAATTCTCTGGCTTTTGTAAAACATGAATATTATATTTTGTTCTTTGCAGCCTTGGATATTTACTGAAATCAAGGAGCAGAGGCACTGAGACATAAGTTCTGGGGAACGTTTAAATATTTTGAAGGAGTACGTTCGCTTTGGACTAGATCATTGGGGTTCTGATGCCAAAGGAATATGATGAAGTTTTTTTTATTTGTTCTTGTTCTTTTACCTTTTTCCCCTCTCTAATTCTTTTTGTCTTGTTTAATTGGATTATAGTGTACTGTATGGTTCCAAATGTATCATCTATTGCATATAGTTTAGGCTCATCTTTGGATATAGTTGGAAGACAAGTGGTATTTTTAATATTATAAGTCATATTAATGTGCTTTCTATTCCTTTTTAATTTTTTTGGGCTTCTTGACCATTTTGATTTTAAATGATGTATTTAAAGTCTGAATTGTTACTATTCTTAGGTATGCAATGCATTGTTTCTTATTTTTAATTTTGTTTTCAAGCTTAGTTTATTTATTATTTTAATAAACATCAATTATTAGTTCTTAATAATTGTTTGACAGGTATTTTTTTTGTTCAACCATATAAAATTAACAAAATTTAAAAATTAAAAAAAAAGGCTATGGCGGCGTTTAAACAACGTCACTATATCCCACCCCAACGACTAGATATTTAAAGTGTATAAATGTCTATGACGGCGTTTTCAAAAACGTCGCTAAATGTCATAGTGACGTCATTGAACAGTTAGGTAGGACATTTGGCGGCGTTTTTAAAAACGCCGTCTATACTAATATAACGACGTTTTTCAAACGTCATAAAGTTATAGCGACGGCCGCGTCATCGACGTTTGGTACTAAACGTCACAAAAAGAATTAGTGACGTTTTTAGTACTTTTTGCTAAAAGTGAATTTTCCAGCAGTGTTCGCTCTCTTTAAGGAGATTCAAGTCCTCTAGGGTTAGGCAAAGCCTCACACCGGTGCAGCAAAAAAAACCTTGACTTGTCCTTCCCAGGATACAACAGCTCGACTAAGTCGTATGGTTTACCAATACTGCACAATTGGTTGAACCCAAAGCTTTATCACATACACCCTTTTTTATTTGTCTGATAATCTCACACAAAACATTATAAAGCAACAAAAACTTCATCTCTCCTCCAAGATAAGAAGTTAGATCAATTTATAGAAGATGAAACTTGTTAGGCAAGTGGCTTGGAGGAGAAGACACTTAGTGGATAAGAATAAGAAAGGAAATTGGTAAGCAATTTCTTTGGAAGACTTGTCTTGGTAACTTGGTGGGCAAGGTTTCTTGAAGGAAAAGAAAGGATTAACAAGTTATTTGGAGCCCAATCACATAAATATAATCTATAACATATTATAATATTAAAATATCTGTTAACATTCCCCCACCTATTTTAATATTATAGATAACAAAAATTGAGATTATTAGGCAAATAAGGATATTATGCATCATAGTAGGTGTGCTCTGCATTGAACCTCCATTAGTGAAACAATAATATCTACTCCGGAGCCAATAGCATGCTTAGCATTGAACTATGACTGCTTAAAGGAAATAAATAATTATTGCACACACATAATATTCCAGGTGTTTATATAAGCTTTAAGAGCCAGCACATTACGGTCTTGTGCGATCCTAGGATTCATGAGTGTGTTTGAGAATTAGCCCAAATCTCATAGGTAACGGCCCCACTACCACACTCACATAGGTGAATTCTGTCAATGATGCTCCTGTAACTATGGTACCCCACTCAATAAGAGTTACAGAAATTCATTAAGAGTTTTTTCAATAGCTCAACATCTACAACGTTACAGGATAAATGCACTTACATTATAGGGATGGGTAAAAAGTAATTTAGTGCATTTCTCACGACCATCATATGATCGTTTTTCTCATTGAACCCAATTACAGGATCTCTGGTCCCTGGGTTGAGTATCCTCATATATGACTCCTGCTATATTCAATGGGCTTCAACTCCATTCCCTTCGATGTATTCCAAACTCTATCTCTTGTTAAGGCCTTAGTTAATGGATCTGCAAGATTATCACCAGATTTAATATAATCCACATTTATGATGTCATTATTTAGATAAGATCTCACAGTACTGTGTTTTCTTCTGATAGGTTTGGATTTACCGTTATAATAACAGTTATTAACTCAACCAATTGCTGCGGTGCTATCACAATGAATCAATATAGGTGGAATCGATTTTTCCCAACAAGCGATTTTATTTAACAAATCTCTCAACCAATTTGCTTCTTCACTAGCTGTAGCTAAAGCAATAAGCTCAGCCTCCATTTTTGAATTAGCAATAATGGTTTGTTTTTTCGATTTCCAACTTATAGCACCACCTCCTAATGTAAATAAGTAACCAATGGTTGATAATGAATCGTCTGACAAGGTATTCCAATCGGCATCACTGTAACCTTCAAGTACTGCAGAATACTTATTATAAAACAAGTCATATTTTATGGTACCAGATAAATATTTCATAATATGCTCAATGGCTAGCCAGTGATCACAGCCAGGCTTTCTAGTAAACCTACTAAGTACTCCAACTGCATAGGCAATGTCAGGTCTAGTATAGTCAGTCGCATAATGCAAGTTATCAATCATACTAGCATATTCCTTTTGATTAATTATATCCTCATCATTTTCAATAGGAAATAAGCATACATGAGGATCAAAAGGAGTAAGAACATGCTTGCACTTATGAAAATTATATTTTCTCAAAATTTTCTCAACATAATGCGACTGATTAAGAAATACACCATCACAGGTTTTGGTAATTTTCATTCCCAAGATATAATTAGCCTCACCAAGATCTTTCATATCAAAATGGCTACTAAGCATATTTTTAGTTTCCATGATGATAAGCAAATTAGAGCCAAATATAAGTAAATCATCCACATAGAGGTTAATAATGACATGTGAATTTTTTTCAGATTTATAGTAGATACATTTATCACATTCATTTGTTTTATAGCCATTCTCAATCATGCAGGAATCAAATTTCTCATGCCACTGTTTAGGGGTCTGTTTTAAGCCATATAGGGATTTAACTAGCTTGCACACTTTACTTTCTTGACTAGGTTCCACAAAACCTTCTGGTTGATCCATATAGATTTCTTCACCCAAGTCTCCATTTAAAAAGGTTGTTTTAACATTCATTTGATGAATTTTTAGATCATGAATTGCAGCCACTGCAATTAATAATCTAATGGATGTAACTCTAGTAACCGGAGAAAATGTATCAAAAAAGTCAAGATCTGCTTATTGTTTAAAACCTTTTGCAACAAGCCTTACTTTATATTTATCAATAGTTCCATCCGGTTTAAGTTTTTTTCTCAAAACCCATTTACAGCCCATAATTTTACAACTTGATGGTAAATCTACTAATACCCAAGTTTTATTGGATAACAATGATTCCATCTCATCATTTACAGCCTCGTTCTAAAAAACAGAGTCAGGAGATGCCAAAGTTTATTGTAAAGTTAATGGAGTTTCCTCCACATTAAAAACATGATAATCAGGGCCAAAATATTTTTCTAATTTGGCTCTTTTACTCCTTCTAGGTCCAAAAACCACAGTATTTGGTTTTGGAAAAGAGCAGTAGAGGAACCGGTTTCAGATAAAATATTTTCTTAATAATTTTGACCCTTACCATTTTTAGATTTAAAAGGAAATTTTTCTTCATGAAAAATTGCATCCCCTGATTCAAAAATTATTTTGTTTTCAATATCAAAAAATCTATAGGCTATACTATTTGTTGCATACCCAAGAAATGCACAAGTGGCATCTTTCACACTTAATTTAGATCTTTTAGGGTCCACAAGTCTAACAAAAGCTAGACAATCTCAAACCCTCAAATATCTCAAATTTGGCTTATGCCCTTTCCACAATTCAAAAGGTGTAACTTTTATTTTTTTATGTGGCACTCTATTCATAACATAACATGCAGTTAAAATTGCTTCTCCATACAAATTTGAAGGAGCACCTGCTTCAATTAGCATAGCATTTGTTAAATCAGTTAAAGTTGTATTTTTTCTTTTTGCTACACTATTAGATGTAAGTGAATATGGTGGAGCAGTTTCATGGATTATTCCCAAAGATTGAGCAAACGAGTTGAATCCAAAAGATTCATACTCCCGGCCTCTATCACTTCTATATCATTTAATCTTTTTACTGAATTGATTTTCAACTTCAAGAAGGAATTCTTTAAATTTTTCAGAAACATCACTTTTATTTTTCAACAAGTATACATAAGTGTATTTTGAAAAATCATCAATAAAAGTGATAAAATATCTATTTCCACCACATGTTAAAATTCCTTCAAATTCACATAAATCAGTGTGAATTAATTTTAACAATTCAGTATTTCTCACCACACTTTTATGAGGCCTTTTAGTTATTTTTGCTTGACTGCAAACTTCACATTTCTCAAACTTATTTGTTAGTCTGGGAATTAATCCTAAACTACTCATGACTCCCACATATCGGTTATTAATATGACATAGACGAGCATGCCAAAAATTTATAGAAGACAGCATGTAAACAGAAATATGTACTTTCTTATTCTCAACATTTAATTTAAACATTCCATCACAGGCATACCATTTTCCCACAAATATGCCTTTTTTAGTGATTACATGTTGGTCAGATTTTGAAACCAGCTTTGTTGAGCAAATAACTTGACATCAAATTTTTCCTCATGAACGGTGTGTACAACACATCTTTTAAAACAAGCACACATCCAGAGGTAAATTTTAGCTCAACATCCCCACACCCGAGCACCTTGGTTAAACTGGAGTCACCAAGCATAACAGTCCTCTCCTCATTAAAAGGAGTAAAATCTTTGAACCAATCTTTATCATAGCAGACATGCCTATTGGCACCAGAGTCTGCCAACCACCCTTCCACAGATTAAACCATAAAAATATCTGTAATCATAGCCACAAATGGTTCCTCGGTAACGTTAGCCTGTGGTCGAGACTGTTGTTTTCGAAATTTGCAAGTTCGAGCAAAATGCCCACTTTTGCCACACACAAAACATGTCACATTTGTCAGATCTTGTGAAGGGGGTTCTTGGTTCCATTTCTTTTGCCTCGGGTAATTTTTATTTTGCGGCCTTCCAACATTTTTTCAAATTTTCTTAACTGGTTTCAAGCGACTATTTTTATAAAATCGACCTTTAGGTAAAGTATTTCTCGAAGTTAAATTTACCTTTGCAGTGGAATTTTCTTGTGTCATAAGCGCATCTTGTCCTTGTGCTTCCTCCTCCACCCGAATCCGTGTGATTAGAGTCTCCAAGGACACCTCTTTTTGCTTGTGACGCATTGACTTCTGGATCTCCCTCCAAGATGAG